TGCCCGCCTAGAGGAGGTCATCCGCGGAAGAGGCGCCCTTAATGGGAGCAGGGTTGAGACAAGGTAAGCCTAGTGCTAATTGGTCGAAATACCTCGAGCCTCAATTTACGAGTGTACGAACGCACGGGTCGTGTCTTTCCAAAAGCGGTAATCCAGCGGCCCATGCAGAAGCGACCTCTTACACGAGATCTTTCGCCCTGGCAAGATTGGATCTGCTGGTGGTGCCTGTCATATTGCCCAAAACATGTGTCTTCCAGAATCGTTCCGTCCTCGGATGCTATTTGAATGGCAAGTTTGCCAACTTGCGGTCCTTCTTTGTTTTTCTACCAAATCGAGCCTTTTGGATTCGAATCCCGCTCTATTCTTGAAACTCTCTTGAAGCCAAACTTGGCTCTGTTCTTCAGAGGCAACGGGCCACAAAACGGTCCCATATCGATCTTGCTCACCAAAACCAAACCCCTTGACGGTCAAAACGGCCAGGCATGAACGACGTCGAGATCAGACCTCTGCAGCTTTGATCCGCCGCAACATCAAAGGACCAGACCAAGCACCGAGAAGTTTACCTCTGTACTCCATAAGTAAGTTTCGACTTCCGTCCTTCCCCGCGTCATTGGGAGGAAATATTGTCGTGGGGGTTTGCGTCTCGCTGATGGTTGGAATTTCTGGAATCTCAGAACTTCTCAACTTCCACGACTCACACACACAACTTGAACGCCACCAAGGGAAAAAAGAATGGCGAAGAAAAATCAAACAGACGAGAAATCACCCCCCGCCGGGAAGGGGGATGTTGGGCCTGTGGAACGAAAACCCGCATTCGCAGATTACATCCGAGTCTTCACCTACGCCTCAAGATGGGATTTCATAGTATACGTTATCGCGGCCGTAGCCTCCCTCGGCGCCGGCGTCACCCTCCCGCTCATGAACATCCTCTTTGGCCAGCTCGTCGGGCAGTTTACGGAGTTCTTCCAGCCCAACTCGACCCTCACCACCTCCGACTTTGAGCACCTCCTGAACCGCCAAGCGCTGCTCATCATGGCCCTCTTCCTGGGTCGCTGGCTGCTCAACTCAATCAACAAGTTCTGCTTCCGCATGATTGGCATCCGGCTCTCGTCGGCGGTACGCCTGCACTACGTCCAGTCGCTCTTTGCGCAGTCGATCCACACCATCGACTCGATGGCGCCCGGGGCGCCTGCGACGGCCATCACGACGACCTCGACCACGCTGCAGATCGGCATCTCGGAGCGCCTGGGGACGTTTCTGCAGTTCACCGGGACCATCTTGACGGCTCTGATCATCGCTTTCATCTGGAGTTGGGATCTGACTCTGGTTACATCCTCGTTGCTGCTGTACATCACGCTAATTCTCGCAATCGTGTTGCCCAAGGTGGTCAAGGGGCAGACGGAGACGCTGGTGGCAGACATGCAGGGCACTGCTGTCGCCAGCGAGGCACTTGGAGGGATCCGACTGGTCATGGCCTGCGGCGCCCAAAAGCGTGTTATTGAGACGTACGACGGGTGGGTGCGGAAGGCGAAGGAGCGGGCTCAAAAGACTGCACCCATCGTGGCTGCTCAGTTCGGCCTGATCGTAAGTCCACGACGATGTGATCTCTCACGCTCCCTTCACACAGCTGACTCGATATAGTTCTTTGGCATGTTTGGTGCTTACGGCCTGGCATTCTGGTACGGCACGCAGCGCTTCATTGCCGGGGCGTTGAACAACGCCGGTGTCGTCTTCGTCGTGCTGATGTCAGTCATGATGATCCTCACCTCAATGGAGCGCATCTCGACGCCGCTGATGGCCGTCAGCAAGGCCATGGTCGCAGCTTGCGAGCTGTTCACCGTGATCGACGCGCCGCTGCCGCCGTCCGGAAATCTCAAGCCTGAAATCGACTCGCACGACATCATCTTTGAGGACGTGGTGTTCGGGTACCCCACCAGGCCCGGCATCACCGTCCTGAACGAGCTGAACTTCCGCATTCACCCGGGCGAGAACATTGCGCTTGTTGGGCCGTCGGGCTCGGGCAAGAGCACGATTGTCGGACTTCTCGAGCGGTGGTACTCTTTGCGGGACCAGCCTGCCGTGCCCAAGGTGAACGTGATGCCTCAGCCCGCGGCGAAGGCGGCCGGTGAGAAGGTACCTGAGGTTACGCGTCCATCTGGGCGCATCCGCGTCGGCGGCGTTGATTTGGAAGATTGCGATCTCCAGTGGTGGAGGTCACAGGTCGGCCTGGTTCAGCAGGAGCCCTTCCTCTTCAACGATACCATCTTCGGTAACGTCGTAAACGGACTCATTGGGACCGGTTTGGAGAACGAGAGTGAGGAGCGCAGGAGGCAGCTGGTTCAGGATGCTTGCGAGGAGGCCTATGCCCACGAGTTCATCTGCAGACTTCCCGATGTAAGTACACCCTTTCTTCCTTGAACGTCCTCCGCGTATTGCTGACACTTTTCCAAAAAGGGATACGACACAAAGGTCGGTGATGGCGGTGCTAAGCTCTCGGGAGGCCAAAAGCAAAGACTCGCCATCGCGAGGAGCATCATCAAGCAGCCGCGCATCATCATCCTCGATGAAGCCACGAGCGCAATCGACGCAAGGTCCGAAAAGGTCGTTCAGGCGGCACTAGACAGGGTCACCAAGGGCCGCACGACAATCACTATTGCTCACCGTCTCTCGACAATCCAAAAGGCAGACCATATCGTAGTGCTGCAGCAGGGCCAGGCCGTCGAGCAAGGCACGCACCAGAGCCTCATGGCCAACAAGTACGGCGTCTACCGCGGGCTGGTAAACGCCCAGGCTCTGAACTTGTCGGACCCCAATGACGAGAAGGCGAACCCCAAGCTTGTGGAGTTTGACGACGCCTCGACGGAGAAGACGTACGCCAACTCGAGCAAGCACGGTGGTCCACCGAGTATCCTCAGCGACCGAGAGGTCGTCAAACGCAAGCCCCGAGGTATCATCTGGAGCTTCGGCAAGCTCATGTGGATCCAGCGCGACAAGTGGCCTTCGTACCTCGGCATCACCATCTCCGCGATGGCGGTGGCATCGGGCACCCCGATCCAGGCCTGGCTCTTTGCTAAGGTGATCAACGTCTTCCTCCTCCCCAGCGACGAGCTGAAGAAGGAGGCCAATTTCTGGGGCCTCATGTGGATGGTCCTCGCCATATGCATCGGCATAGCGTGGGCGTGTGAGGGCTGGATCGGGCTGCACACGCAATACTTCATTAGCGCTGTGTATAAGAAGCAGTACCTGACCGACATGCTACACCAGAACATCAGCTTCTTCGACGACGATGAGAACTCACACGGGGCTCTGAGCTCGAGGGTCGGTGGCGACGCGAAGCAGCTCGAGGAGCTCCTCGGACTGAACCTCGCTCTCCTGCTGTCGGGCCTCTTCACCGTCGCTGGAGCCGTGCTCATCGCGCTACTCTACTCACCCAAGCTCGGCCTTATAGCGATGTTCGTCTGCTTGCCTGTCATGCTGGGCACCGGTCTCTGGAAGTACAGGCAGGAAGTGCAGTTTGACCAAATGAACTCGACAGTATTCATGGAAAGTTCGCAGTTCGCCACTGAGGCCATCGGGGCTATCCGCACCGTCTCTGCCCTCACAATGGAACCGTCAATCAAAGAGCGGTATGAGAAGCTTCTGAACCAACACATCGACGCAGCAAAGCGCAAAGCACAGTGGACCTCTGTCCTGTACGGATTCGCGGACAGCGCCGGCATGGGATGCCAGGCCCTCGTGTTCTGGTACGGCGGCAGACTCCTGGCCAAGGGCGAGTACACAATGGAGGCCTTCTTCATCTGCCTCATGGCCATCATCCAAGGCGCCGAGTCGGCGAGTCAAGCCCTGTCGGTGGCGCCCAGCGCCGCGCAGGCCGCCGCCGCCGCGGACCGCATCCTCGACGTCCAGGAGTCGGCTGTCGGCGGTAACTCCGGCATCCGCCACGGCGACGAGATTTCCAAGTCGCAAGGCGGCGTGCGCATCGAGCTGCGGGACGTGCACTTCAAGTACCCCACGCGCGACGTCGTCGTCTTCGACGGCCTGAACCTGACCATCGAAAAGGGGCAATACGCGGCCTTCGTCGGACCTTCCGGGTGCGGCAAGACGACCATCATCTCCCTGCTGGAGCGCTTCTACGACGTGGAGCCCAACCGCGGCGAGGTTCTCTGCAACGGCATCAACGTCAACCACATGAACGTCTACAACTACCGCCGCAACCTCTCCCTCGTGCCGCAGGAGCCCATCATGTTCCGCGGCACCATCCGCGACAACGTCCTCTTCGGCATCTCTGAGCCCGCCCTCATTTCGGAGCAGCGAATCCACGACGCCTGCCGCGAGGCCTTCATCCACGACTTCATCGCCTCCCTGCCCGAGGGCTACGACACCCAGGTCGGGCAGAAGGGCGTCTCCATGTCCGGCGGCCAGAAGCAGCGCATCGCTATCGCCCGCGCCCTGATACGCGACCCCAAGCTGCTGCTGCTAGACGAGGCGACGTCAGCGCTGGACTCGGAGTCGGAGAAGATCGTCCAGGCCGCCTTTGAGAGGGCGCGTCAGGGGCGGACAATGGTCGCTGTTGCGCACCGGCTGTCGACGATCCAGACCGCGGATGTCATCTTCGTCTTCAGCGAAGGCTGCGTGGTGGAAAAGGGAACCCACAAGGAGCTGCTCCGGAAGAAGGGCGTGTACTGGGAGATGGTAAGCAATCATTCCACCGTTCGTTGTTTGTTCCGTTTCTTGACTAACAGACATTTTGCAGTGCCAGAGTCAGGCTTTGGATCAGTAGGCTTCGGAAATCAAAAAAATTGTGCATTGGCATAGCGCGCGATTTGGGTTGGCTGTTGTGGGATCTCGAGTATAGACCGTCTGGGCAAACCCTTTATTTCCCAGGCTGACTTGTTTCTTTTCTTACTTTATTTGGGTATCAATGTAATTGTCTCCATGTCGTATACTCCTTCTCTTCAAAGCACATTCGTCCAAACGATGTATCTTATACCGCCTGAATTCTAAACATCGGCACCTTGGCCGCTCTTCTTGTCATATCCCGCACGCTCGGCACCGAAGACTTCGGCCATAAGCAGGCCGCCACGCCCATGCACCGGTTGCCTTGTCCATACTATGTCTTCGTCTTTATCTCGGACCACGGCAGCCTCCTGCACCAACGTCCACGTTCCAAGCAAACCGTCTTTCTCGAGATAGCGGAGCAGAACGCGGTCTCCACCCTCCTCGAAGAGGAATTCGCGACGCCAGAACCGTCGCCACTGTTCGTCAGCCGTGCCTTCGGAGGCATTCATGCATTCGATGGTGCGGTTTCGCGCTGCAATGGCGTACAGAGCTCGTGTTTTCCACAAGCCATCTTGACCCGGGTAATCTTTCAGCATCTCCACGGCTTCATCGCGCGCAAGCGGATCGCGACAGAAGAAGGACAGAACCATCAAGTGCCAGGTGATATTGCACTGGAGGGAGACTTGATGAGCCGGGTTTTTCTTAACTTCTCGTTTGGCCGCGCGGAGAGCGATGGAAGCAACAGACAGATATTCTCGGAAGAGGGGTGTTCGTGCCTTCACCAACTCAATGTTCACATACATTGGAGGGTTGTCGAACGTGTAGACGCCCAAGTGCTGTAGGCGCAGATGAATTGCTCTTAAGTAGAGGGGTGAGTCGGTATCGTGGGACATGATGATCTTGTTGAATAGGGGCCGGAATCCGGCGTCAAGTGCTTCCATGGTCTTATTCGACTTCTCAGAGAACTCCAAAATCCGGGGGTTCTGTAGGAGATTGACATGAAACCCATAGATGACCTCCTCGTCGTGTGAGTGAATTACGTCCGAGTTGTACAAGTATTCTACCATGATGGGGATCATTGCCGTTTGTGCACGCTGAACGGCATTCCAGCTGTCTTCAAAGTCGTCGAGGCTTTTGAAGACCGTGGGTATATCGTCGATATCGACGTCCGAGGTAGGCACTTGACTCACAGAATCATGAAAGATTCCATTGTATGGTTCCTACTCCTTAAGACCTTGGTTAGGTTTGGAAGGGGAGGTCCCTGTCCCACTCTGTCGCGCAACACCGTACGGGCTTGTTTTGCAAGGTGGTTGAAAACGTCGGCGATGGCAGCCAGGAGAGGCTTGGGGTTCGGGGCCAGCTTCCTGATATAGTGTTCTGCATTCTCGTCCGTGATGAGAGACAGCATCAGACAAAGACCGTGATTAACGTGATCCAGGGCGGCTTTCCTGTTATCCGTAAGCGTCTCGAACAAGAGCAAAAGGACAGACAAGATGATGGCGTCTTGAAGAGATGCTTGGCGGCTCTGCTCCTTGATGGAATGGCAGTAGTGAGCGACAGCATTGAAGTAATGCTCGTCGCTCTCATTTGTTGACATCTCGGGCACGGATATTGTGCGAAGGCTTCGTTGGGCTGATTGGCGATGCCATACACTGAGTGCACCGATGGCCATGGCGGCAGATCGAAGGGTACTGCTGTTGCGTGCAAGCTGAGGGAGAGTTACTTCCCACAAGCTGCTGCTGGCGGCTGCATTGGTCCAGGGTGCTTTGGCCAGGTTAACGAATTCTTCAAAGTAGCGCATGCTCGATGTGTCGGTGAAGTCGAGAGCATCAGGGTCCAATTTCAACTGGATCCTCGGGTGTGCGGCATGGCGAGTGGCTTGCCTGGAATCCCAGACGACCTGGCCGGGTTTTGCAGCGGCATTCTTTCTCGGTTCGAGGGCGTAGCCTTCGCAGTGTCCCCGATTATGGAGACAATTGCTGCAGTGAGGCTTTCCCTCATCGCATTTTACGTGGCGCTTCTTGCAAGTGATGCATCCGGTTCGCACCTTTCGTGTGCTTGTTCGAGAGTGCTTCGGTTTACTGGCTTGAGGTGCATTGGTGAACGGGACGGCGTTTGATTCCGGATATGGGGAAAGCTGGATGTTGAATTCCGCCATTGCTGCCCATCATTTGTCAGTCATTGCGCAAATGGCAAATGAGGTCAAGACGATGATCAGGTACAAAAGGCAGCCTGGTGAGATGGCGCAGACAAGCAGCCTGGCGGGTGTCGTTGGTGTGTTGAACTGGACTCGGTCGGTTCCACTTTTCTTCGAGCCATGAGTGGTGCAAGCGTGAATGGAGTTGGCGCACTCTACGAGTCACACCGAAGGCCGGATAATCTCAGTATCCTTAGTCCGGCCGTGCCTCATGTGGCTTTCCGCCAGGGCTGAGGTGGGTGACGAGTGCATTACGTGATCATAATTTTGTCGTGTTTTTTCTGATGCCTCTCAAATTGAAATCAGCGGGAAGAATTGGCCATCAAATGACGTGCGATTTGTCGACCTCATCGACTGCGAGAATTGGGCAGAGCGAGGAAAAATAACCGGCGGTTTGGAGGCTCCGAGCTGGGAGGGCCACTGCGGATGGGGAATGTGGTCCCCTGAGACCCCTTAACCCCTTGCATACCTGGGGAAGCGAGCGCTTCCATTGGTACCTGCAGCTGTCACCTCTCCGCTGTTGCTTTTTCCACGTCGTCCTCGCAGTCACCCAGCTTCCGTCATTGGCGATTGATCTGCCTGGCTTCGGTCTGGCTTTTCCCCTGCAGTAGACTCTTCTACAGCCCGGCAGTCGTGCCCAACCAACTCAACATGTCGAACGCCACTTGGTTTCGCCAACTTAGGACGTCAAGCAGCCACGCGTTGTTGGGAGTTACGTGAGTCCAGGTGGTCTAGCCAGGCGGGTGGCAGACGGCACCGGAAGCCGTCGGGAAACCTATCCTGCATGCCACATACCTTAGGGCAGAGCAGAAAGTGTTATTCCTCGGGGATTGACGGCAGATGACTGGCAGATGGCAGACTCAGATTCGCGTTCTCACAAGACAGGCCTTCACTGACCAAAATTTTGACAGAAACTTTCCCAAATTGAAAGATGGACAGACATGTCGCGCATTCCGACGAGGTGTTATTACGGTCTCTCGCAACATTAGGATTGCTTGAAAACACGGGGGAGGGGGCGGACCGGGCTTACCATCACGGGCTGGCCGTACAGGGACACAGGGGTGAGCATAGGGCATGTGGCTGCTAAAAATGGGCAAGCCAGCGCGGGCCCGGGGGCTCTTGACGGCCCAAGATGGGCGCCGGCACGCCGGTAAAATGGGATGGCAGCCGTGATTGGGCCTTTGTTTTGAGCCGTCCTGCCCCGATTTGGTTGCCCTGCACACTCCGTGACCTCATCGCCTCGTCGCTTCAGGGGCAGTCCTGCAGAAGAAACCTAAAGATGTGCTTTGGATACGGGACACACCTTGTTCCTGCTTCTTAAGCGTTCAATGCTGGACAGCGATGCTGCATCTCGGCGAGGGAGGGGAAAGGATGTGTCAGTTCAACTCGGGGCATGTGGAACCACCCAGCTAACCTCACTTGCCCTTTCCAGACTCTTCCGCCCTCCAGGTGTCATACCACTTACGCAACTCTCTCGTCTGGATTGGTCCTTCTTGTTGGGAGGGTGTGGGAAACAAACCGAGAACATGGAGGAGGAGGGGAAGGGGACTTCCGCTGCCATGTGCAAGGCACAGGGAAGTCGGCCCAAAGAACCATTGAGCTTGTTTATGTGATCTGATCAAGCATCTGCCTTCTTGGTCAAAAACCCTCCTACCCCTCGTGTTTTCTCATTTCGTTCCTCTTTACCATTTCCCTTGCTTCACCTCCTCTCTTTTGCATCTCCTCACAATCATTATCCTCATTGTGCCTCCGGGTCTCTGAGTCAACACCCACATCGTCTCTCGTTTGCCGGCCTTGATCTACGTATTAATACCTAGTTGCTATTCCTCTAGAGCCCGGCTTCTACGGCACCTACAAGTCGACCTCTTCTATTTCTTCGTATACTTGCCTCTCCCTCAAAGATCCAGCAGCACCTAACTCAAAACTACTCAACGCGCAACCGACAAAATGCGTACCTCCAGCTTGGCTGCGGTCCTCTACGCCGCAACGGCCAGTGCCTTCCAGGGCTTCAACTACGGCTCTACCTTCACCGATGGCAGCACAAAGACACAGGCCGATTTCGAGGCCGAATTCAAGGCTGCAGCTAGTCTCGAGGGCACCAACGGTGCTTTCACCTCAGCCCGTCTCTACACAATGGTCCAAGGTGGAAGCACCAACGACCCTATTGCTGCCATCCCCGCTGCCATTTCCACAAAGACCAGCCTGCTACTCGGTCTCTGGGCCTCTGCCGGTGACGCAGCTTTTGCAAACGAGCTCGAGGCTCTGAAGAAGACGGTGTCGCAGTACGGCAGCCAGCTCAGCGGTCTGGTTGCCGGCATTTCCATTGGAAGCGAGGATCTCTACCGCCATTCACCAACCGGCATTGCCAATGGCGAATACGCTGGTGCTGAGCCCAACACGCTTGTGGGTTACTTTGATCAAGTTCGGGAAATCCTCAAGGGCTCGCCCCTGAGCAGCGTTTCTCTGGGCCACGTCGACACATGGACTGCCTGGGTTAATGGCAGCAACAAGGCAGTCATCGATGCTTGCGACTGGATTGGCATGGACGCCTACCCCTACTTCGAGGACACCAAGCCCAACGCCATCTCTGATAGTAAGCAGCGATGGGCCGAGGCTCTGAGCGCGACCCAGGGTGCCGTTGGCGGCAAGCCTGTTTGGATTGCCGAAACTGGCTGGCCTGTCAGCGGCAAGACCGTCGGCTCTGCTGTCCCTTCCCTCGAGAACGCAAAGACTTTCTGGGACGAGGTTGGCTGCCCCATGTTTGGAAAGACCAATGTCTGGTGGTACACTTTCCAGGACTCTTCTCCCACTACTCCCAACCCCAGCTTCGGTGTCATTGGCTCAACCCTGACCAACAAGCCTTTGTACGACCTGTCTTGTGACAACACCACCTCCAGCTCTTCTACCGCTGCTGGCACTCCGACTGCTACCGCCACTGCCACGGGTACTGACTCCGGTTCTGGTTCTGGTGGAGCTACGACGTTGTCGACTGCTGTGCCCTCCGGCGGCTCCGGCTCCGGATCTGGCTCCGGTGGAAGCGGCGGTGCGTCGCCGTCTGCCACCCCCGGCTCCGGCTCTGGCTCCGGTTCTGGCTCAGGATCTGGCTCAGGATCTGGCTCGGGCTCGGGCTCAGGCTCCGGCGGTAATGCTACCGTGAGCGTGCCCACGTCTGCTCCTTCTTCGACTACCACCACCGTTCCTGTGAGCAGCGCTGCCGCTACTACCTTCAGCATCGCTGTACTGGCTGGCATGCTCGCCTTCGCAATGTTCTAAGTGTCGTTAGAGAGCGGATTTGCACCTCTCTTTACCACGTCTGGCTTTATACCCTTCTGATGGTCCCCAACATGGTCAACGTACATAATTCCATGGGACAGGGGAAACGAATACACGGCCTTAATTACGTTATTGCAACCCACTAGATTCTGCACTGTAGTGTACGGCGGTTGAGTAAAAGCAGAGTTATCAGTTAGATCGAGTCTACCACAATCCTTCGGGCCTAAAGCAGCACAATCGGAAATTGTTATGAGACTATCATCAAATATACAAAAAGTTATTTTAATTTGCACTTTGGGTGGCCCTATTGAAGTTGATTTCGTGTAAGCCGAAGAAGAGTTCGTTGAGCTTTAACCAACGGACACGCAGCCATATATTTCTCGGTTCAGGCGACAGTGATATGTGAAAATAATTTCAAACGATTCTTAGTGGGTTTAAGAAAGCATGATGCCTTTCCAGAGAGAACGGAAGTCTAGACTGTCTTTCCTCCAAGGATGGTGGGTGAACCTTTTGACAGTGTCAAACAAAGCGACATGTCGACTATTGCACTGTGCGGGTATCACCACGTTATCCACACCTTAGTTTCCTTCGCAGTGAACTCACTCACATGAACCCGACTTCACTGCCGCAATCGTTACCCACGACATCGCAAGGGTGAGTTTGAGTTGCAAACAAACAATAAGTATCAGACATCTGACAGCGGAGGCAAGCAAGACTATCTAGTGGAGTCCCAGCCAGCGCCTCACTGAGGTCTTTTTCCCCGCTCTCCCTTCAATGTCCTAAACTGTGCACATCTCATCTCATCTCATCACCGACCCGCCAGAATGGACGCCCACGAGGACGACAGCGACATCAAACTCCAAAGGATCTCAACAGATCTCATTGCGGACTTTAATCGATCTCTTCCTCTCTTCCTACGAAAATCGGACGGCCACACTCTCCGCAGCCGCGTACGGACCTCAGAAACAGCCCGTCTGGCGTCCAGCGTAATCTCATCAGTCCTCTCATCAAACTCATCGGCTAACAACAATCGCAGTTGCTCGACCCCTTCCAAGAGCTTCCTCAACTGCTGGATCCTCATCTTCCCACATGGCTTCCGCTTCTAGCAGCAACCTACCTCGCCCACCTCAACATCCGGAATCGTAATCGTCCCAAACAACTCTCGACTCGCTCCCAGCTGCTCGAGCCCCTGAATGTCGCCATTGCTAAGCTGCTCTACACGTTCACCAAGATCCGTGGCGAGAAAGTCGTTGTTCGCTTCCTCAACGTCGAGACCCGCTATATTGAGCCTCTCCTCTCGGCACTCGAGTCTGCGGAGCGCTCCAGGTCGCCTCAGGCCTCCCGTCCCTCGCTTAGTCCTGTATCCCCCCAGTCCAACACTCAGCAATGGTCCTGGGAGGAGCGCTATTTAGTTCTTCTATGGCTGTCGCATCTTCTTCTCGCCCCCTTCGACCTTTCCACCATCTCCTCCGCCGCGGCAGACGAACAAATCACCCTCCCTTCCATCCTAAACTTCACCTGGCCGTCTGACCTGCCCGGGATCACAGTCCGCATACTCCCAGTGGCAATCAAGTATCTCGCCTCTCCTGGCAAAGAACGCGATGGTGCCCGCGCTCTTCTCGTCCGCATCGCCATGCGCCGCGACATGCAGTCCCAGGGCGTCTTGACCGCCCTCGTCAACTGGGCCCTCGCCTCCCTCAACCCATCCCCGGATACCCCGCCGCAACCACCGTACTTTTACATCGGCGTGCTATCCTTCCTGGCCGGCGTTTTGAGATCCTCCATAAATACGTCCGACATGGACGCCCATCTCTCCTCCATCTTCCGCGCCGCTCACGCAGTTGCCTCCTCCGAGGTCGAAGAGACACCCGTCTCGGCGGCGATCCGCTCTGTCGCGGTGGCTCGCAAAATGCTGATCAAGGTCATCCGCTCCGTCACCGTCCTCCTCCTCCGCAAGTCCCCGCCGGACCCAGACAGCGCGGAGCTCATCGAGAGGTCCATCGGCTACTTCCTGGAGTGCCTCGCTGACAACGATACACCCGTTCGGTTGGCTGCTTCCAAAGCGCTCAGCATTGTCACTCTCAGACTCGACCCCGAGATGGCTTCCCAGGTAGTCGACGCCGTTCTCGACTCGTTGAACCGCAACGTCCTCTGGACCAAGGAGCCAGGAAATCCCAACGGACTTAAGACACGCGACCTTGCAGCCGTGGATCCCTTGGAATGGCACGGTCTGACGTTGACCCTCTCGCATCTGCTGTACCGCCGCTCCCCACCAGCGAGCCAGCTCCCAGACATCGTTCACGGCCTGCTCCTCGGCCTCTCCTTTGAGAAGCGCAGCACATCAGGCGGCTCCGTGGGGACCAACGTCCGCGATGCAGCATGCTTCGGCATCTGGGCCCTGGCCCGACGGTACACTACCGCGGAACTCCTGGAAGTTCCCACAGCAGCCGTCGTCGCCGCCAGACCTCACAGCCGGGACGCCTCCATCCTACAAGTCCTCGCCACGGAGCTGGTCGTCACTGCCTCGCTCGACTCTGCAGGCAACATCCGACGCGGTGCTTCGGCTGCGCTGCAGGAACTCATCGGACGACACCCCGACACGGTGGAGAAGGGCATCTGGGTTGTGCAGACGGTCGATTACCACGCCGTCGCCCTACGATCGCGCGCCATTCACGAAGTAGCCCTCAACGCAACGAGGCTCTCGCCCCAATACGGCGCGGCCCTCTTGGACGGTCTCCTCGGCTGGCGAGGAATAGGCGACGCAGACGCCGCTTCGCGTCGTGTCGCTGGCGCTTCGTTTGGCACTCTTACGCTGGAACTCTCCCAGAAGGACTCGCCCGACGCCGCGGCTCAGTTCACGGCTTCGATCGACAGGATCCTCGCCCGTCTTCGCGCTCTGCAGACCAGACAAGTCGACGAGCGCCACGGACTCTTACTTTGTCTCGCGTCCGTACTGGACAAGTTCCCTGATCTGCTAGCTACCAAGTCGGATGGCACTGTCACGGATCTCACACAGCGCATCATTCAAAATCTAGAGACAATCTTGGGAGACTTTCAGAAAACAACCTACCGCCGGCCGGAACTAGTCGCCGAAGCCTCCAGCCGCCTCATTACCTCCTCACTCCCCATCCTGCAGACGGCCACACTCTCCTCGAACGCACAGTCGGCTCTCCAACCAGGCTACACAGTTGTCTCAACCGCAAACACCCAATCACTCCTCAACGTCATGGCATCAATCGACGCTCTCCCTTCGATCCCCTCATCCATAACCAGTCTCGTCTCGACCTTTGGCCCCGTCATCGCCGCAGGCCTCTCCCGCCCCGAGAAGGAAGCCGTCTCCGCCTCCTCCGAAGCAGCCCTCATCCATCTCCTTTTCTCCCCGCCCGACTCCCGCAGGACCATGATACAGGAATGGGCCTCCGCAGTGCGTCACCGCCCGACCTCCCGCACCGCAAACGACACGGGCGTGCTCTCCGCCCTCACAATGGCGTACCCCATCACCAGCACGTTTAGCAGCCAAGAGGGAGACGTCGTCTGCGACACGGTCCTCGCGCGGTGGGCGGGCGACAACGACATCGACACGCGCGTCGCGATCCTCCAGAGTCTGTCGCAGAGCGTCCTGCTCCGCGAACGCGCCCCAGTCTTCCTGGACCTCCTGGCCGAGGGCCTCAACGACTACACGACAAACGCCCGTGGCGACGTCGGTTCCCACGTCCGGCTCGAGGCTCTCCGCGCCACAAAGTCCCTCTGGAAGCTCGCCTTCGCGCCAGAAACCACTGAGGTCGAATGGCTGCCGGAGGCAGTATCCAAACTCTTCCTCCGCATCCTCCGCCTCGCGGCCGAGAAGCTGGACCGCGTCCGCACGGAAGCCCACGCCGTCCTGGCCCTGACCCTCAACCCATCCTTCGCCCCGACCTTCACGCAGCAGACCTTCTCCTCACGGGAGTACTTCCACACCCTCCTGACGCTCCGCACCTCGTCGTCCTCCTCCAACCTTCTCCACCCCAAACTCGCCCGCCCCGACGAGGAGGCCTGGATGTCGGAGCTCCTCGCCGGCTGCGTCACCTCCGCCGACACAGGCAACGAAGACCTCGTCATCGCCTCCCGCGCCGCCCTCGCCTCCTTCTGCGCCGCCTCGGCGGCCGCCCTGTCGTCCGTCTGCGGCGCCCTCGTCGCGAACCTCAAGGCGCGCCAGGGCCTAGCAGCCGCCGACCGCGTCGTCGTCCCGACGCTCGAGATCATCGCGTTCCTGTGCCACGTCGGCCTCTTCCAGAGGTGCGCCGGGGTGCTGGTCGGCCTGCGCTCGCTGTGCCTGCAGGTCCAGCGCGTGGGCTACAAGACGGGCAACATGCGCAAGCTCGAGGCGTGCATCAAGGTGTACGGGTGCGTGGCCGGCTTTGACGACACGGACGCGGATCCGGAGGTAGCGGAGGGTGTCAGGGACGGGGTCGCGGAGGCTAGGAAGAGGCTTGGGGCGCTCATGTTCCACCCCTGGCCCAGGGTACGCAGCCAGGTTGTTGACGAGCTGTGGAAGCTGTTTGGAGAGGAAGAAGGTGGCGGTGGTCGGGCGGAAGAGTTGAAGAGCGTGGACTGGAGCAAGGCCGAAAAGGGGTCCATCAAGCGCGTTGTCGAGCGGCTTGGCTTGGCCCAGGCCGGATAGACATTGAATACAAGTAGCCTACATGCAGACAAGAGCATAGACGAGAAGGGTTTATCGTCTTTAGAAAGCAAGCAGCACTTCGCAACGGAAGAAGATTTCTAGTTATCGTGATACGGCACATCTGGTAGCTGCCATGGTTTTTACCCGGTCTGCGGTAAATCGGCCGGCCCGGCGATTATACACCACCCTGGAAGGCGAACAATATACATGGAGCTCACTATTCAGTATGGTTTGGGGGTTTGTTGTTCTCAAGACACTCCGAAAGCCCATGGAGCAAGGAAAAACATCATCGACGACGCCATAGCGAAGCCAGCCACTGACAAAGGCCGTCGCAGCCGGCGTATTACCCGGGGAGGAAGGTGTGCGGGAGAAGGGTTACAATGCGAATGCGATGCAGGCATGACATGACGCCAATGCCGGCGGAATGAATACTACCTACTCAATCAATGTTTGCCATAGGGCTGGGTATAGCCAGGAGAACCAAGCACGGACCAAAATACTCCCCTTGCGCTCGGCATACAGCTTTTCGTATAGATAGTGACGTGCTCATGATGGCCAAGAGAGGCAGTAGCTTTTTTGCCGCGCTCGCTTTGCGCGGGCAGGAGGCCGCGGGGGTCACTGACAACGCAGCGGCTCTTGGACCATTAACGATTTGCCGGAGGCTATGTAGTTCCGGGACGGAGAGGGACGGACATGGAAACAGCACGACACGAATCTGGCTGCGTGTTTGACATCTGCCATGGTCAGCGCTACGTGCGGACTAGCCCGAGAGTCAATCGCTGTTGGCTGTCCGCGCGGGCTTGTGCCAAGTCTCTGGGTTTGTGCCTCACAACCATCTGTGCCGTTGATGCATTACCTGCGTTACCAAGCTTGAAAGTTAGAGATGCTATTATTCGACACTTCCGCGGCGCTACGACGGCGTATTAGGCCATGGCAGTCTCGTCCTGGGGATATTTTTCATCCATCCGAAGAGCTTCAGTCGTATGCCTTTAAGCCGCGGAAACCGGGCGGTCACCGAGCGGTCACCCAAGAGACGAATCGGATCCGGTGCTGTTGTTTCACGATCGACTGCCGCCGCCATCCCGTCGCACAGGCTCGACGTACGATGTCGAAATGTTCACGGACCGTGTGACGTTGTGTCGATCGGACGACGTCAAATGCCCAATGAGGCTGTAGGCACAAGCAGTGAGAGCCTAGTGTTGACAACATCGGTCACCCAGCGTGGCTTAGTAGGCAGCCGTCAGGTCTCTGCCAATCACTTACTTGTTGGAGCAAAACTCTGGTAGTATCTTTGGACGACGGTCGGGGCCGAAGTTACATACTGGCCATGGCAAGGATTCGGGCCGTTAAGTCCAAACCGACGGTAGATTCAGCCTGACGATTCGGGGTAGTTGTTGAATAACATCTGAACTTGTCCCAGGCGTAACACGCCGAGGAATATGGCAACCTAGTTGGCATCTTGCGGAGACGGCCGCCAGTAAAGTTCAGGCGGGAGATTTGAGGAAATTGTGTCGGACTGCGCCGCAGATCCGTACTGCATACGCGCAACGGGTACAAGGACCTTGGCCTTGACAGGGTGGCGCAAAGAATAGGATCCGAGATTCCTCTCCGAACAGCTGCAACCGTTGACTGTTGCAAGATAGCAGTACCTGGTCCTTGAGCGCCTCATCGAAGTTGTGTCAAGGGTTTCTTTTTCCCGCTTTGTGCAAGAGCTTGCCCCGGCCCATGGCGACCTGGCTACTTTGGTTTGCCGTACTTCCACGTGGGAATGACACAAAGGAACCCTGAAAAAGTACCCTCAACGTCAAGGGCACCCAGCCTCAAGGGCACTGGTAGGTTATCCTTCATGTGGGCATAGCGTCGTGCATTGCAGACCTGAGCTCAAGCTCCCTCATTTTGCTGAGACATGATAATCCAGAGGTAGGCATACCGCAATGAGAAAAGGCAGGTACAGGACGCGCTGTAGGCAGCTCAAAATGGGTATGGGTTCGGTGGTGAGGCAGATCGGAGACGTAGGGGGGTGTGGGCATCGGGAGGAAAGTTGATAAGTCGTGTTGAGTGGGAGGGCGGGAGGCTGGGATTGGCCAGAAGGCAGGCGTACGGCTAGCGTGCCCCCAAAAGCGAAGGGTATCGCTGGAGGACCTGCTCAGTTGGGTAAGCTGGCAGATATGCAAGTGAAACTCTTCATGAGCTCGTGGAGTCAGGAATTGTCTGTCACACGCAGTCAGTCTGCAGTTGGCAACTTGCAACTTGCAAAAGTGCCCCTGAGTGAAGATGTGACCGGTTGCCGGCAAGTATCGGGGCAGGACAAGTCGCAAAAGAGCAGAGGACATGTTGGTTTTTGGGCCAGGGACAGTCGGCAGCCTGGCGGCATGATTTGATAACGATCTCTCTAGGTTGTGTGGAGACGCACTTGCAGGCGTATCCGAGGGCTGGCACCGGTCGAGATTTAGAGCGGTGTCGCGTGAGCAGCGGTGTACTCAGCCAAGCGATGTATATGCCGGAATCAAGTGTGTCGGGCAATTTGGTTTGGCCTAATCGACTAGGCGATACGGATGGCTTAGAGACGTTGGAGAGAAGCGCCAGTAGTAGTCGTCTTGCCTTTCGAATGGCCGGTCAGCCTGCTTCCCTCTATCCATATGACAAGCGAGACAGTAAAGTGCGAATAAATGTTGGCGGTAACTCTGGGGTTGAATGGTCCTCGGAGTCCGTTAACTGACATGCCACAGTTTGAGTAAGGGGGAAGGGGTGCCAATCGGTAAAGTCTGGATTGGGGATGGCTTGGCCAGATGGAGGTGGCGGGAGGGTGCGGCACAAGTCCCCGGGAGGTGCATGGGCAGCAGCTTTTGTAAGAGCTGACGGGACAGAGGGGTATTCTGGGCGGAGGATTTTCGATGGTGAATGCTGCGGTGGGATTTTGCAAAAGGTCGGTCTCGGATGATGGTGTCGTGATGGGTGGTGGTTTGGCTTCTGAGTGAGTGGGGAGGTGGCGGTATCGTGCGTGCCGTGTCTCGCGTCGGTTCTGCCTTACGGCAAGGCAAGATGTGTTGTCGCTGCAAAAGCAAGACAAGCGAAGGGAGGTGGAATGAGGTAAGGTAAGGTAAGATAAGGTAAGAATAGGTGAGACTTGCGGCGTGAATGCGGCACTGGTGGCGTTGGCAGTCTGGAGTTGCAGACCTGACGTGAACACACTTGATCTCCCTCGCCTCACGGGAAGGAAGGAATGAAGGACTCGAGTGCCAGTGAACGGGAAACAGCGGGCGGGGCCGGATCCGAGCCGTGAGAATGCCTCGAGTGGAAGGTAGGTACCTAGGTTGGGTTGGGCCACACGGTGCAGGTGCACCTCAGCTGTTGTTGCAGTGACAGTGACAGAGATGACGGGAGTGTGTCCACGGGTGTTTCCCAGAGACAGGAAACCGGAGTGAGTCGGACCAGTGGGAAGCCGTCGACGGGGACCTAAGCGGTGGTCCATGCTCCCCGATCCGCCCAAGCTTGTGGTCGTTTGTCGTCGGGTGCTCTTTCTTCAGGTGTAGGTAGGTAGGTACCTTACCTTACCCCGTCTCCGTCTCCATTGGTGTCTCCATCACCCGTCGTTTGCTCTGCCCTGACCAACAAAATGACGAGATATCCAGCTCCATTTCCTGCATTTATCCATCGACGAGTGGGTAACACATGCAAGGAAACAGGGCAGGGTAGGGCAGGTCAAGTCGTCAGGACAGCATAGACGACGCCTACCTTATTACGGATGACGGACAGACGACAGCACCATCATCGTCTCAGCAAACCTCGCAGGACAACGATGTGAACAAAGATGCGGTGGTGGGTTGGTGCTGTCACACCCTCAGCAGCGAGGTACTTTGGCCCCTGGGCTGCTGTTGCACTGGGTGCAACTGTCGACGGCGCGGGTCATGGTTCTCGGGCGTGATCATTGATGAGCGAGCACCTCACCTTTGAAACTGGGAACCCGGTAATAACCTGAGGCTCGACATAGACAAGCTGGTATCTACCTGCACTACTCTGTACCTACCTTGCCTCTACTTGGTGCCTCTTATCCGCCTGTTCGCCGTACCTGCCTCGGAGTGGGGGCGGTGTCATGGTCGCGGTTCCTGCCTGCCACCTGAAGCTGACCTCGCCGTCGCCCGTGATAAAGATAACCCTTCCTACCTTAGGTATGCATCAGGCTGACCGGGCAGAGATAGGAACCGGCAAAAATGTAAGGTCTCCTTCCTCCGACCGACCTTTGTTGGGGGAATATCACACGTATTTTTCTGATCATCATCTCTTTTTCGATAGGTCTCCAATGGTCAACGTCCCCGCTCCACTCACACACACCGTGACCCATGGCGGGCACCGAACGAACAGCTTCACACTGCTCCTCCACTCCCCCACGCTTCAGTCAGCCCGCACCGCACTGCACTCAGCTCTCTCCTCTCCTGCACCTGTGACTGCACCACATTCCATCCAGTCCACCATAAGGTAGCTGCCACTGTGGACTCGACTCCATTCTCCATTCTCCAGTTCCGATTTCTCGACTCCTCTTCTCCGATCTCCAAATCCCCCCCCACCGCCACCTTATCCTCCCTTCATCGCTGTCTTTGAACCCTGCCCTTTCTGGCCTACCATCGAAACCCAAATCCAACGATGGTCTTGCCAAATTCCTTGGACACTAACACTTTATTGACCCCCATATACTTACTGCATTCAAGTATCTCGGGGACAATCTGATCCAGCCAGCAATGTCTTGTGCGACCATGGGGATAGACATGGCAGCATGTCTCTCCATGCGGCGTCTCCCATCCGTGCCTCCAGTCACCTGAAGCACCGTTGCCTTCATTTCTCTCCTGCAGCTTTCACCAAAACCCGCATCATCAACAATTGACGCTCTCCCATACGCAGTACCTTCTTGGCCTTCCGAACCAGCTCACCACCTGACTGTGCCAGCGGCCGTGGCTTTCCCTTCCGGGGCCCTTGGCCAGCTCGGCAACTTGGCGACTCGTCCG